TTAATCCATCTTAAACCTTCTCACTTATTTTTATTCATTTCTAAGCACCACTTTGTCAGCTTCTATTACAGAGACAGTTTTTTATTGCATAAATAAACAAATAAATCATTGTATATTATTGTTGCTGATAATTTGACGCTTTGGTGCTATTGTGCTGTATTATTCTGCTCTGAATTACATAGCTGAGGATGACTAACAACTGCAAACACAACCAGAGTCTCCGGTGTTTAGAAGCTGAAATATAAAGACCTTTCTTGCATTCCTTTCATGCTGCACCCCTCCCATTTCACATTATTTCTCTGTGACAGTTTGAAAGGGAATAATGACTTGACACATCACCATTTTAAAGCATATGAATGAAAAGTCTGAATGAGCTGGAAGAGAAAGACAAAGGGACAGTTGGTAATCAGCAGAGGGAAGACAGACAGATGAAGGAAAGTGAGATAGAGGCAGACACCTCGCAGGGACAGAGGGAGACAGACATACAGAGATAAAAACGATGGAAGAGGAAGAAGACACATACAGACGGAGAGAGAAGAAGAAGACAGAAAGCCCGGCTCCTTATCTTACCCTGCCTTTCACAGCCAACCCATACACTGGCACCTAATACAGTGTTTGTGTGGCCTGGTATTATTCATGTTGTGGGGACATAAAACTGTTCACACAGTCACACTGTGGGGACTCGACATCCTTATGGGGACAAATAGCAAGTCCCTAAAACTTAAGTCATGACATTTTAGAGTGATGATTTGATTTAAGGTTAGGGGGATGGTTAGGGTTAGGCAAGTAGTGGTCATGGTTAAGGTTAGGGTCTGTGTCCAGGAAATGAATATAAGTCAATGAAACGTCCCCTGAAGTGATGGAAACACAAGGTATGTGTTTGAATTGCTAAAAGTAACTACCGTATGAGCATGTTTCCATTTGTGTTGATGTATGCTGTAAACTCAGACTGCATCGAATGACTCTTTTTATTATCAATGAATCAAGCTATTTTTCAATCAGTTATCACTTAGTAACATGTCATGTCAACGAGTGCAAGGTAATGTTTTCAGACTTTCGTTTCGTCCAACCAACAGACACCAAAATCCAGCCACATTAAATTAACAATTCTTTAAAATAAAAAAAAGCTGACATTTCTTGCATTTGAGAATCTGGAAATGGCACATTTGGCCTTTTTGCTCAATAAATGACTTAAAAAATTGATTTAACATTTTCAAAAGTGATGTATTCTGTCAGTTGACTAATTGATCGATCGATAAATGTACACCGTGTACATTTTCAGATGTGTGTGTTTGTGTAGTTTGTTGTTATGAGGCTGTTTAATCAGTTTAATACCAACATGTATAGCATGTTGCCTCATACTGTATATGCTTATGCTAGTGTGTGCACACCTCTGGGTGATTAGGTGATTGACAGAAATGTTTTTTAAATTTTTCCAGATGACACTAGAAGTGGCCTTGTGTCCAGAGTCCTGCACGGGTCCAATTTTGAAACCCTGCACCCGCAAAGCTCCATATTGGGCCTGTTTGCACATGTTTAAACAAGGTGCACATAAAGCTGGGATGTGCTCCTGACTCATCGTATTTGGAGGCTTGCTATTTAGCACTTGAGGAAGCTTAATGATGGCAGGCATGATTGTATACAGAGGAATCACACTTTCTTTTTTACATCACATGGGTTTTAATTTGCCATGGGTTATGTGCATTTTGATGGTCTTGCGTTCACATTTATTTTTACCTTCTAGTCTACAGTCCTCACTTGGATTTGTCGACCCCAATCTTCTGACTTGCAGCAAGAAAAGAAAGCAGTTTTGGTTTGATGAAAGTTAATTAAACTTGTGATTAATGAATGAGTTAAATATGCCTCTAAAGTTTACCAAATAAACAGAATAAAGTTAATAAAATATTCCCATTTTGATGAATCAAATTACTTGATTAGTTTTCATCCTACACACATATTTATCTTCCATCCCTGGTTTAACACATGAAAGTCAGTCAGTTCAAAAAAATGTAAATTTAATAAATAAAAATGACAAGAGATATGAAATTAAAATGTGTATAAAGACAGAGAACAAACTGTACTTGAGTTACAGTATATTATTATAGCACCTACACTAATACCTTTATGTTTATTTAAAAAAATACAGTGCAATTTTTAATAAATCTGGAATTTCAGACATTTCTATACTAAGCTAGTACTGACAGTATTGCATGTGTGTTACACACCCTGAAGGTGCAGGGTGTTAAATACTCAGTGTATCAGAGGATGTGTAAGTAACTCCTCAAGCACATCATTCTTTTTTTATTTTTAATTTATATCATGCATCATTCTTTAATAATGAGCTTTTTTGACTGTCTGGTGCCTGTAGCCAATGTCAGTAAAATAACAATGAGCATAATGAATTGTCTTTATAACCCACAGCATTATAGAATAATGAGAAAAGCAGAGAAGAGAAAGGAAGGGTGTGAGATGGCAGAGAGGACAAAGGAAAAACTGAATAACACAAAGAAGAAAAGAAAAAGTAAAATGAAAACAAAGAAGTTAAGAGGAAAAAAATAGAGATGAAGAAAGGGAAGGAAAAAATCAACAAAGCAAGAGACAATGAAGAGAGAAGAGGGAAAGAACAACATAACTGTGGCTGCTGATGTCAATCTCCCTCAGGTTAAAACAAGATGACTATTAAAAATGTACCATGGGGTCACACTGTGTGTCTATACAATGTGTGGCTTACTGTGTAGCCTTGGAAGCAAGAATTACTACAACTGGTACTGGCTGTTACAGAGGACTGCTGCAGTGGGAGGCAGCGTGCTGGTATTAATTTAGACTTGAATATCTGCCACATCAGGCCCACATACCATCCCTCATAGTGAGGTGTTAGGGCTGTGATATTGCGGTGCCCATTAAAAGGTGTCCATGCTGCAATCAGTGTGCATAGGGCCTTAGGGCCTAATTGGTACTACATCAATCTGGAGTTAATGGAACACACACACACAACAAGCAAATACACACCGTCATACATCCATCCATCCACATTTCTGCCTACCGTGTTAACACTGTCAGAAAGACCACTGAACAGTGGGACACACACATGCATGCACACACACACACTGTGTTTTCATTCCTTGTGGGGACTTTACATTGACTTACTTTCATTTCCTGTAGACTTGTCCTAACCTTAACCTAACCTCATCCTAACCCTAAACCATGTTGTCACCCTAAAATTCAGTGGTTTCCTTGGACTTGGCCATCCAGGCTCTGGTCCCCACAAGGATGACCAAGTCCCCACAGTGTAAGTGTGTTAACAGGTTCCGGTCCCCATAATGTAAGTACTACAAAGGCACTTACATGCACATGAATACACACACATGCATGCACATATACACAGCTGGCAAACACCAGCCAAACAGGGCGCAACACACAATTTACTACACAAGCAAATGTTTATGAGATCCCCTCACTTTCAAAATTTGATTCCTTATTTCATTTTTAGATTTTTTTTTATCAGACCTTTCTTGTTGTCAGAAATGATAATAGGTTTTGGTTCACATTTATAATAGAAACCTCATGCTTCCATACCAGTGCTAGAGATGCTGAAATGGCAGTTTTGAGGTTGATGTACAATACATTGCCAGTCCAAACAGCCTTTTCTCTCACTCTGAAAATTGCCCAGTGAAATTGCAAAAGTGAAAAGACTTTATTTGAAAATGCCATGGTTTTGACCGTCTGCCAGTTCTAATCAGTAGATACGGCAGCATTGCAGTGCATCCCATGTGGGCTCTGTAAATGTTTTAACACTGAGTAAATTGGGCTGAATACATATCTGCTCATAAGTCACTGTTAATCGCTGACTAGAGGAGAGAAAAGAACAAAGATGCTGACCTAAGACATTAAATCTCAGCAAGCCTGGGGCTGCTGTTCTGTAGCTTCACCTGACCTCTGACTTCCCTATAGATGGAGGCAATCTCTCTACAGGGTTCAGCATGAATCTCATTATCAAGACCCCAGGAACAATGCCAGGTACTGAAGTGATTTGTGCCACCAGTCAGAGCTGCAGGTGGCCCCTTGGGCCCAAAATAACTTTGTCCTATAAGGAAGCATTACAAAGAAACATCAATAAAGGAAGTTATCCAGCGCAGTTAGAGAAAGTTCAGTGCTGTACATCAACTGTCACTGCCCAGTGAGGCATTTACTGTGTGAAAAGTAAGGGTGTGGAGTCGGGAGTGAGTGGTGGATGAGTGCATGTGACTTTTATTGCAGTTTGTGTCATGTCTGCGACCTGCAATAAACATTTGCTTTCCTAAACCTAATCCGGCATGTTTACTACACATGCATCCTCCTGAAGTGTTTTAGATGTCTAACTTTAAACATGGCATATGTGCTACATTTGCTGAAACAAATGGGCTGACATATCCAATTTCATTATATTAAAACTATGAACTATGGCTAAGGTTTTTTGAGGGCCACAAAAACTGGGCTGCTTGTGCTCTCTCTCTCCTACAAGTTTCTGATGGAGGTGGACATAGTTGGGAGTAAAGACAACATGCACCTCTAGCTAAGCCACCTGCACTGAAATCTGTTGGCAGCAACCCCACTCTCTATCACGGCAAATGGAAGAACATAAATAAGGCAGCTGCATAGAATAATGCCACAGTGTGGACCTTCTCACTGCAATCACAATGAAAATGAATAAATGTATATGTATTTACATGCATATCAAGAGGTGAAATTGAATTCTGAGCTATTAATCAAACCCTACGTTGCAGGTTTCCAGTGCAGAACAAGTACAATTCCAGCTTTAGGAGTCATTTATGCCTGAAGGTCACACTACTGTAGAAAGGCACTTGTGTTGACCGTCTCTGTTGTGAAACAAATTAAGTGTCCATGGTAAGAAACACCAGAGAACCGAGCACTTTGCACCAACGATGGAGACATTAAAAACAAGAGGACCTCAAGGATTACCACTAAGCATAAATCAATAAAGAGAAAGCGTTGCTCCTTACCAGGCGTGATTTCTATCACTGTGTCTTGTCTCTCTGGGGGGAAAAGGACCTTGGGAGGCTGAGTGGTCTGGAGAGCTGGGAGAGAATGGAACGAGAAAGATAAGGTTAGTTATCAGAAGTGAGTGAGAGTTTTAAACTAACAAGCTTTGCTTGTGGTGGACATATATCGTGAGCTAATCAATCCAGCACTGAAAAAATACACATTTAAAGGAGAAAAAATTTTCTAAATTCACACACATTGATTGTATCCATCCAACTATTAATATGTACAACTGGTTCAAAAAAAAAGAAGGTTGTCTCAGTTCTTGAAAGGAAAAATTAGAACAGTGAGTTATATAGTGTAGCAAGCACCATCTCTTAATGGCAAAAGGAGGCCTTTTCTCCCCAATCAAACCAAAACACCATCAAGCCAACAGCTCTACATTAATGCAGCAGCACTTCCTGGTTAGAAGTATGAAAAACACAGCTGTATTATCCTGATACACAGGCCACTGCTTTGTGAGGAAACACTGTTGTACCAGTTGATCACCACCCTGCAGCATCACAAACCCAAACATAGTGTGGATGCTTTACAGCATCCACACAAATATAAAGAGACTGAAGCTCATTGACTTTCACACCTATGATGCGGCTCAGTGCTCAGCTTGTCTCACCTTGTCATCTCTACCTGTCTCTTTGCAGACAAACAAGTTGATCGGTTTTCAGACACACTTTCAATTTCACCTAAATGGACATGATGCTCTTTACCGTCCAACACTATTTCCCCTCACTAAATCCAAGTGTCTACTAATCCTCTGACATGCTGCGCTAGTCCCATTCTCTTTCTGAATACAGTGCTACATGCTTATTTGTTCTGTGACTATGATTGAGAAGTTGAATTCTGGCACTGATTAGAATAAATTTGTCTTAAATATATGATCATATCTAATCAAACACAATCTATATGTTATAACACAGAGACCATTGTATTGTTTTTGTTCATAATAAACAAGTCAAATTTTCAACTGCAAACTCTGTGAACCCTAGGCTACTGACATCAACAACTGGAGTCGAGAGTTAATCAGTGAAACCAGACTGGAGGTGTGGGTTAGAGCTACCTAGACTTATGGCAAACACTGTAACATTCTGAGATTCCTGCTCACAAGAAGCATCTGTTGATGTGAACCATGGTTCACAATAAAGAGATCTCAGAAGACTTATTATCAAGAACTGTTGATCTGCATAAAGCTGGAAAGGGTTACACAGTCACCTCACAGTTTGGATATTCATCAGGTCACAGTTAGACAAAGTGTCTATAGATGGAGAAGACTTGTGGCCGCTCTGTCTAGTGGGCTTCCCCTAAAATGACTCCAAAAGAACCACCCAAAATGATCAGTGAGGTAAAAGCCAACACCAGAGTAACAACTAAAAACTCAAAGGAACAACTGGGGCTGGTTAACATCTCTATTTGGTGCATAGTTGTATGGAGCATGGTGTCTCCTTCACACCTGAAGTTTGCCACAGAGCACCTTGACACCACAACACTACTGGGAAAGTGTTTTGTGAACTGATGAAACTAAGGCTGAATTGTTTGGGAAGAACACACAGCACTGTGTGTAGTATAAAATGCTGCTGCCTCCCAACATGAAAACATCATCCTAACAGTGAAATACAGCAGTGGGAGCATTGTGATTTGGGGCTGCTTTGCTGCCTGTAGGCCTGGACAGCTGCTGTCATCGAGGTGAAAATGAATTCCCATGTTTACGAAGGTATCTTACAGGATAATGTCAGGGTGGCTGCCCAGCAGCTGAAGCTCAGGGGAAACTGGTTGATGCAGCAGGACAATGACCCTAAACACTGAGGTGAATGTACAGTACTACAGGACAACTTCATAGAGAGAAAATTCCCCTTTTGGAGCGACCCAGTCAGAGCTCAGACCTGAACCCAACAGAGACACTGTGGCTGAGCTCAGAGAGCCATTCACATCAAACATCCTGGGAATATGTCTGAGCTGAAGCAGCTCTGTGAAGAACAATGGTCCAACATTCCTCCTTAACAATGTGCAGGTTTGATCCACAGCTACAGGAGGTACCTGTGTGAGGTTAATACTGCCAAAGGAGGCTCAACCAACTATTAAATCTTAGTGTTAACTTACAGTATTTTTTCCAGCAGTACTATGACTTATTTACTGGGTTGGCTCAAAATGTGATTTAGATGAAGATAAGATTATGTTTTGTGACCAATTAATGCAGAAGACCAGGTGTTCCCAAAGCGTCCACTTTCTTTTTCTTGGCCCTGGATACCAAGACATGTAGAGTTTTTTGTAATATGTCTATCATAAGAACATTAATACCTGAAAATTACCAGTACTTACGGTAAAGGCAACAATGTATGTCTTTCCCTGGTCTGAACCAAATGAACCAGGCATGAAGCCATCATAAGAAAATGCATACTTAGCTACAGTGAATACAGTTCTGCATTCGTTCATATCCAAAAATAGGTGTTCTCCATGTTCTTATAATGCTCTCTGTTCAAATAGTGGTAACTTCTGTATCCATCAAACACAGAAACAACAGTGCTATGTGATAGAGTAAGTGACTATGGTGTTCCAAGGTGCTTCCACACCTAAAACTGTACACTACTCTGACTTAGAATGGATGTTGACTGTCCCATGTTGGTCTAAATCTTTCTGTGACTTTTCTAAAGTGATAAAAATATTAAACATTGACATTTCTTTTCTTTTGCACCTTGTACATCAGCTTTCTCTCCATGTCCATGCCTCTCTCTGTTGACTGATTGTTTGATTTGCATTCTGAAGGTTCTGCTGCACCCTTTGAAGATTAATGAGACAACCCTTCACCTTGACCTTGTCCTCTCACGTTCTGTCCTTGATTCCCATCCCTTTTTAGTAGTGTTGGGGAGTAGTGAATGACGTACTTAAACTAGTACTTTACATTTTGCAGTAACTTGCCGGTAGTTTATCTACATTCATAGTTGTGTAGTGACTGAAATAGTTACATTACATGTTTAGCTATTTTTGTGTAGTTACTACTTACTGAATGTTATAGTTTTGTATCACATGCACATTGTAAAAAATGATCAAGCTGACAAAGTAGTTATGAAGTACTTTTTCTAAGTAACTTTAGTTTACCAAACTACATTTCTCTCTTCAGTAACTGTGCTGCAGTTTAACTTCTGCCAGTGTGAAGTAATTGATAGTTTGCTAAGTTAAATTTTCAAAGTACTTTTTCCCAGCACTGCTCTTGCCCATGGATGCATAAAGGAGAATTACATTCAGAATTACGAGATGCTAAGAGGCACATTCTCTGAAAGAATTCTTCATGCTTCCAAGTACCAGCTACAGATGTATTTGCCTACACCTGCCTAAGGTTTTGGTGACTTTAAGTGAGGAGGAGGCACAGCAGGAGCAATGGTGTAGTGAGGTAATGGCACAATGTGTCTCTACATACATCCATGGCTCTAACATTCCAAACATTTGGAGCAGTCCCACAGATTTACACTGACTTGGCTGCTATTTTCCAAAGTAAGAAGTTGAAATCAAAAGCAATAATTATACTTGGGACATTTTAAGTTAGCTAAAAGGGTCAAAACATTTATACCCATGTTCTACAACCTTTGACAGTCTCACTCAAATACTGGACTTCTTTTTTTTTAACGAGGTACCTAGCTAACTAGCTAAATTAGCTGAACTATCTACAACAACAGAACACAGAATCAGAATTAGCTTGCAAAGCTGTACAAGTCAGTAAAAGCAGCAATTTTCTGATAAATCATGCTGTTAGTTGCTCATTTAGAACTATATGAAGCTACAGGAGTCACGTGACCCAGTACTGTTTTTGACCCCTCACTGTCACAACCCTTAAATCTTAAGAGCTCTGCCCAAAGGTATACATTGCTGTTTTGTGTTTTTTGGTTATAATAATTGTCCTTTGTGATATAAGGAAGCCTCCCCAGCAGAAAGGAAAGTTCAAAAATACCATCACCTTTTATACTGTAACATCTGGACCTTGTTTAACCCACAAAATTTCCAAAAATCATCCACAACACAGAATGCACAAACAGCATGTGGCACTTATTCACAAAAGCAAACTCTCTAAAAGGGAATAAAGATCACATCTGTCAGTGTTTGGGGTCTGAATTAACTTGAATAAAAATCTGAATATCAAAAGGTGTGTGGTGAATTGATGATAATGATGGGGTTGCTGTTTTACTTTTAGCACAGCTTCATAGACACACACACACACACGGATTTGAGCTCTCTGAACTTTTCATATTGGTTGCTTGTCTTGAAAATTACAGCACCCTGTTGATGTGAAAAGTGCATTTATGTCTTTCTGTGTGTGTGGGGAAAGTGCCATTAGGTTAGAGGCACTGGCTGATTACAACCCGACACTCACAGGAAGTAATGATTCACAGTGACTAATGCCAGGAACCAAAAATCACTTTAGTGTTTAGTGAGGTACAAAGGAAATGTATGGGGATAGAGAGGGAGATTGAACATGCCATAAAGGAAGGGAATTTTGGTGTGGCATCTGCTGAGTCCTTTAGTTTTATGCCTTAATCCTGGGGTTCTCAAACTTAATATTCAAAAGTCCAAATCTGATTTCCACTCAAGGTCAAAGGTCCAGAATGATTAGTGATAAGCAAATTACTTTAATTAAACTTGCTTACAACTTAAAAGCAACATACACTCATCAGCCACTTTATTAGGTACAATTGTATACAATTCAGTGCAACACTTCCACCTAAACATGGTAGTTCTTGAACCATTAAAAATCTGCCCTGCTTACACAGGGATTACATATTGTAAACTGTATGCTACTGCTAACAATGTGGCCCTTATATGATTTACAGTCTAAAGTGCCTTTTCCATCGCATGGTACCCGTTCAACTCCACTCGACTCTACTCGCTTTTGGCACCAGGAGCTTTGTTTTCCACTGCAGATAGTCCCCCCTCAGTGCAGCTGGTTGTCACAGTGATGCCACATGAAACTGCCATGAAGTCATCATCTCACGTTGGTGGCAGGACAGGCTCAAACTGCAACTATAATTTTCATCCTAGGACTGTTATTATG